GGGCGGATCGGGTGGCTGCCGTAGCTTGTAGGAAGTACGTCACCGAGATGCACCACCATGGGCGCGTCCAGGCCCACATAGACTACTACAGGTCGGTACTTAGGCAGTCCCTCCCCAAGCCTCAAGCAAGACGGATTACGCTGACCCGGGACCAGTACCTTGAGGTAGGCGAATAACATTCATAATGATTCGTTTTGATATTAAGTAGCTTCAATTTCATCTTCTTATATGTCAAATACTCGATGACTTGTAGGTGATTCCGTGTCGATCGTATCCCGAGTGCTGGGCCATGATCGTGGACAAGTGGTTATCACAGGACTTTGTTGACACGCACGAGAGGCAGCGGGAACAACGTCTGATGAGGCAAGGTCCAACTCACCATCAAGGCAGCCGTAGCATCCCCGGATACAAACAAGTATACATAAGTGATTTCTTTCATTTATTTTGACGCTCAATTATGCTTGATTTCTCACCATCTTCCCGTCTTTCTCGCAGGAGGCTGCACACCCAGGCGAGGAGGTCTCGGAGTTCTCTGCGTGGGCTATGTCCCACATGGGCAGGGCGTCGTCCTCTGTCTCCTTCAACCCGACTGCCCCGCCCCAGGTGTACTCCAACCCGAATGTGTACACTAAAGTCCAAGAGTACACGTCAACGGTAAGGGAGATCTATGGGGAAGATTACAATGTGCGCACTGAGCCCATTGATGCAGAGGCAATCATGAGGCTCGGAGGAGGCAAGAAGCACGGGCGGCTATGGATTGCAGAAGGCGCCATCGACTCCACCACTGTTCCCTCCATCGACGCTATCCGAGCACGGAGCACGAGCTCCAGCCAGCCCATACATCCACGGCCTTCTCCAGCACTGCAGCAGGTCCAAGCACTCTAGGTAATTCCTATTTTACTCATCGTACATAGATATATACACACCTAAATTAGATTTGCATTACTGATACATTGGAGTGAAATATTGCAGGCCGAGCTGCAAGAAACAAAAAGGCAAAGTCAAGAGCAGAACGCGGAGCTGACCGCACAGCTGCAGGCCTAGAAGGTCGCGTTCGAGGCCGCGCAGAAGCAGATGGCGGAGATGATGGTGATCATGCAAAGTCTTGGGCAAGCATCGGGTGTACCTGTGCAGTTTTTAGCTCCTCCACCTCCTACTCCTGCAGCTACTCCTGTAAGTATGAAAGTTCACTTTTCGCTTGTGCTTTGCATGTATGTCGGCCTTCGTGCCGTTGTGGATGTCGGTGTTCGTGCCGTTGTGGATGTCGGCGTTCGTGCCGTCGTTTCTTGCAGGTTTTGGAAACCTCCCCGTGAAGGGGAGGTGCTGCCGAAATTTTCAATTGAGTCTAATATTTTTGTATTCCTACAATACTAGATGCAATCTCTAAGTTCCAAAACTGTTTTTTCGGATTACTCACACATGCAATCTCTGCTCCTTTGTGCAGCTTCCGTCCGCGGGTTCCAATCAACCCGCTAGTGCGTCACCGGGTGATCCTGCTTTTCCTTCACCATCATCTCATAGGCTAGCTTGATGAGGACTCGTGCTAGGTGATGTGGTTGGACTTTAGCGTGATTTGTGATTTATGGTTGTGACTTGTGCTTGGATTTCATTAACTTGTCGTAATAAACATGTGAATGATGATGAACATGTGACTTGTCGTTGTAATATATTGTGATTTGTGGTTCACAATTATGGTTGTGATATATTGTGAGAAAATGGGTTCTGTGTGATATATATATGTATATATATGAAATGCTTGTGTCGACGGAATGCAAAAAACAAAAAAAAATTAAATTTCTGCCTCTTTGCCGAGGGCAATGACCAAGGCCCTCGACAAAGAAGGGTCCTTTGCGAGGGCCCAAGCAATAGCCCTCGGCAAAGATTTTTTTGGAAAAAAATCCTGACAATTTCTTTGCCAAGGGCTAGGGAGCAGGCCCTCGGCAAAGGGTTAAAAAAAATTCAAAAAAACCATTTCTTTGCCGAGGGCCGGCCCTCAGCAAAGAATTTTTTAAAAATCCTGAAAATTTCTTTGCCGAGGGCCAGGGAGGAGGCCCTCGGCAAAGGTTTTAAAAAAAATAAAAAATTTATTTGCCGAGGGTCGGCCCTCGGCAAACAAATTAAAAAAACCATTTTTTTTGCCGAGGGTCGGCCCTCGGCAAAGAAACCGCCAACGGCGCCGGCGCCTGATGGCTTCTTTTCTTTGCCGAGGGCCGTCCTAGCCCTCGGCAAAGGCTTTGCCGAGTGCCCGATAAAGGGCCCTCAGCAAAGACCCCTTCGCCGTCTAAAAATTCCCCGAGGGGTCTTTGCCGAGGACAGCCCTCGGCAAAGCCTTTGCCTAGGGTTTCTGGGCCTTTGCCGAGGGCTAGAGGCCCTCGGCAAAGCATGCGCCTCCAGTAGTGAATTACAGCGAAGGATTGCCCTCACCGAGCTCGGTGAATTGATAATATATTTTTCCCGGCGCGAGCTCTGCCTCCACGGGTAGAAACTCGTCGCGATGAAGAGAAAAGTCATGAACACCGCGTTTTGCTATAGAGGCTGTCGATTTGATCTCATGAGCAAGCATCGTCCAAGTACTACTTGTACCACTAATTGTTGCGGATGTACTACTATATAATCGTTCACTACACGTCTAGTACCGACGAGGTTAGACAAAATCATGGCCAAGTGCCGACGAGGCGAGGTTACATTTCCATCGATATGTCCCAATTAACGGGATCGGACACACGTTGTTGGGCATCGACGAGGCAAAGACAACTCACACACGTCTGTGTTAATGAAGGCCAGCGTACATGACTGGGCACTGACGAGGCAAAAGTCACCCCCTTCATTATCAACTATTCCGTTTACTCCGATGTGGCGATGGCGATGTCACGACCGAGCTTCGGTGACATAAAGCCACCCATAATTATTACGCCATATATCGCATATGGCTCATGACGATCAATCGAATATTTGACGACCATAAAGCGCAGCTTAATCGGAGGTTTTCCGCAAGCTCGTCTTGCGGATGTAATTAACCGGATGCGCTCAACAGGCCCCGGGAATCGGCGAACTACGCAATTTTCTACAAGTCAGACCTCTCCTCAAGCATGAAGCTGAAGACAGAAGAAGACATTTTTTTGTTGATCATGTATTTTGTATATTCAAGAAAGAATTAATGAAATATGTGGTTCTCAAATAGGTGTGCATGTGTCTTTGTGCATATTACTATTTTTATTTATATGTCTTCGTTCAGTTTTCGACCCTACAATACCTCAACGGATTCATCCGCGAAGTAAGTGTTCATGATACTTATGGTATCGTCGTCCGTTCTTGTAATGGATACTCTAGTAGAGGGCCCTGATAGAGCGGATAACCCTGATCGACGCTAGAGTAGTAGTCGATAGCGTAGACATGGTGTCTATGCTAGAGGCTACCTTCATGTGCCTCGTTCCCCTCGGTTGAGGGGTAGGCGGTAGGTTTTCCTTTAATCCCCCACGTTTGGGTTCGGCGTAGAGCTACAGGCCGGAGGCGCCTGGCAGACCAGGTGTAAGCCGGTGCCCCAAAGTGAGCAAGTAGAAGTAGAGTTTATCTTACCAAAGACCCTAAAACCATAGGAATCCATCTCTACCCTTGCCAACTCTATCCTTGTGTTGTACTTGGATGAACTAGCTAGAAGAGTACACCCGTTCCCTGTGGAAAATACGATACCCTAAAAACTTCCGGGTGAAGTGCTACAACGGTAATTCCGTACGCTTGCGGATTATTTCTGTTTGCGTTAAGAAATACCAACATGACACTCCTTTACTTTTCAGCATGCACCTAGCCATCTCCACCACCATTTGGTTTCTACGCTCAACCACCCCATTCTGTTGGGGAGAGTAAGGGGTGGTTGTATAGTGTTTTATGCCATACTCATTGCAAAAAACGTTAAAGGAGATTGAGTTAAACTCACCACCACGATTTGTTCTGAGTGCCTTCAGTCTGCCCTCCCGATCAACTTCAGTTCTCTGCTTGTTCTTTTTTAGGCAAGCCAATGCTTCATCCTACGATCTCAACAGTTCCACATATATCTACTGAAGTCATCAACAACTAGCATAAAAAAACCCCCCCGCCACAGTAGGTGGTCTTACCTGACCACACAGATCAGCATGAACACAGGTCCAAGCCCTTTCCTGCTCTGTAAGAGGACACCTTTGGAAATGGTGTGCGATGTTGTTTGCCCAGAGTCCATCCATCACACACTTGCTCAACTCTATCAACCACTGGAATACCATCCACCAGCTGCTTCCTTCCAAGATCTCGAAGAGCTTTGAAATTCAGATGCCCATATCTGGCATGCCACTTCCAGGCTTCATCATCCAGTTTGGTCAGTAGACAAACAGGTGGCACGATTGCCAGTGCGTGGAGCCTTAACTAACAATTTTCTTTCCTGATCAAGAACACATAGGAACCCATTCTCCAAAACTACTTTGCATCCATTTTCTTCTAACTGTCCAAGACTAACAACGTTATTTTTCAGTTTTGGAATGTAATAGATATTTGTCATTACCTTATGCTCCTGCTGACGGCCCTCCAGGACCACTCAGCCGAGACCACAGATCTCAACACATGATCCATCGCCAAAACGCACTGTGCCATCGACACCTTCATCAAGTTGAGACAACGCTGAACGGGAACCTGTCATGTGGTTGCTGCCCCCCGTGTCCAGCACCCACACACCGTCTTCACACTGCTTCTCCAAGAGATGCACAGTTTGCATTGGCACTCTTGTGACGATGTTTGCCGCTGCCATCAACAGCGCCGGCTGATCCACCCCCGCCACTAGAACATTCGCCTCCTCTCCCTTCTATTCTTTCTTTTGCTTCTTGGGTTGTTTGTAGTCTTCTGCCCAGTGGCCATAGATGCCACAATTGTGGTATCTCCCCTTGCACCGCGGTGTACCTTCAGAGGTGAGCTTCACACCACCTTTCTATCCTGAACCGCCTGCATCAGATCAAGATGTTGCCTTCCCCTTTTCCCTAACTGCTGCCTCCACTGCCTCCCTCCTTGTGAGAGTTAACTTGGAAATGATTCTTGTGTTTTTCAAGCCACTCTTCTTCAACGAGCAGTAGCCGGCCAGCTTTGTCAGTGATCTGCTCCACTCTATCTTCAAAACGATCTTCAGCAGCACGAAGGCGTCCCACCAAATCTTCAACCGAGAGGGTCTTAACATCATAGATCATCTCGATCGAGACGGCGACTTGATTGAAGCGAGGTGGAACAACACGCAGAAATTTCTTAACCACACGGGTATCATCAAGGGTCTCACCGAGTAATTTGATGTTGGCGACGAGATTGATGATTCTCATCCAAAAGTCTTCAACACTCTCCCCTTCGTTGAATTCGATGTTCTCAAACTCCTTCAAGAGCTTATGCACATTCACCTCCTTCACTCGATCCACTCCAATCCACATCGTCTTCACTGTTTCCTAGGCTTCCTTCACAGTTTTCTTTGCGCCACGAGTTCCCACATCTCCTTGGGCACCGACCGCATCAATGGTCCCATAGCCTATCGATCTTGGGAGCGCATGACGTTGGTACCTGGATCAATTACTTCCTAGATCTCCATCGCCTCATAATTGATTTGCATCAACATCTCCCACTCCGCATAATTGGATTGAGTAAGCATTGGCCATACCAGAGAACTCTCCTTGATGCCTGATGACACCGTGCTAGAACTTGGCCACATGTTGCCCATCTCCCTTCTCATCGGCGGCCTTCGAGGGTTCACCTTGAACTTCTTTAGTGCCAGCCATCGCGGTGGGCTGATCGAGCCGCTATAGAACATTCATCGTGGCTCTGATACCAGTTGATGGAACCCAGCTGTGGCGGCTGGTCCGTGGAACGAACGGTGGAACGGCGGCGCCGGAGCGCGGTCACCGCAGCGAGAGCACGAACTCTGGAACACACACACACACGAAAGTGGATGAACACGATGATATAGACTGCGCAACTACTGCAGCTTTTCTGGGACGTTTTCATTGCATTACATATACGGATACATGGGCTTGATGCCTGACCACCCTGCCGCATGACGAGCTCCACGATATCCTGCTTTATCGGATCGATGACCGTGGGCATGCGCAGCATGACGTCGCGATGGGGAGACCCACGTGGCGGCCACGGCGTGAGCTAGGTACAGCACCAGCCACCCACAATACTACGCCATCTAATACAAACTATTGAAAGCGTAAAAACAATAGTTCCAACGAGATTACATCAAGGTTAAAACTAACTTATTCAAGCTAACAACGACAGCGGGGAGCCAGGCGATGAGCAGGACGAGTGACCGGGCGTCACGACCGCCGTAGAGGGCGAGGTAGATTTGTGTGAGGATGGCGCTGCTGAGGCCGACGTAGCCCTTGAGTAGGCCGAGCACGGTGCCACGGGCCTCGTGGAATTTCCTGACGCACGTCACCAGCGCGCCGCTGCCGGTGAACGCCTGTGAGTTGGCGCCTACGCAGACATAGGCGCACATGAGCCAGAGCAATGGTGGCAGCGGTCGCTCAGTGCGATCGGGCACGAGGGAGCGGTAGACCATGAGGTAGCTAGCAAGGTTCATGGCGGCACCGACGGTGAGCACGCACTACTGGAAACTCGAATTGTTCTATGGGTGACGAATTTTTTTGTGCGTTTTTTTCGGTACACACAGAAAAAGTAATTTTTCTGTCGGTTTCAAATTATCCCGACAGAAAAATACGAAAACCCATAGAATAATTGTATGATTTTTCTGTGCGTGCAATACACACACGGAAAAAATCAGCACTCACAGAAAAATGCAACTTATTCTGTCGGTTCTTTAAAAACGCAAAGAAAAAATATATGCACGCATAGAAAAAATGTTATTATTCTGTCGGCTATTTTAAAACATACAAAAAAAACATACACACACACGGAAAATTCAAACGACCAACCCCTCCCTTCTTCTTACCCCAGCGCCCCCTCCCCCTCCCTTCTTCTTCCTCCGCACCCTGACCCCAGCGCCTCCTCCCTTCTTCTTCCCGCACCCGCCCCCAACGCCCCTCCCCTCCCTTCTTCTTCCTCCTTTTGAACCCTAGCGCCCCCTCCCTTCTTCTTCCCTGGCACCCGGCCCCCAACGCCCCTCCCCTCCCTGCCGCCGCCCCTCCCCTTCTTCTCCCCTTCTTCCCTGGCGCGGCCCCTCCCCGCCGCCGCCCCTTCCTCTCCCGGATCCGGCCCCCCTCTCCCGGATCTGGTGGTGGCGTGCGGCGTGGCGGCGGGCTTCGTGGTGCTGGCGTGGTGGTGGTGGTCCCCGGCACTACCCCTCCCCGGCCTTCTTCCCTGACGCCGCCCCTCCCTCTCCCGGATCTGGCCCTCGCTCTCTCGGATCCGATCGGTGGAGCCCAGTGGCGGCCGGATCTGGGCTCTGGTGGTGGCAAGAGGCGGGTGGCATGGTGGCGGGCTTCGTGGTGCTGGCATGGTGGTGGTGGTCCCCAGCGCCCCCCTCCTCGGCCTTCTTCTTCCCCGGCGCCGCCCCTCCCCGGCCTTCTTCCCCAGCGCCGTCCCTCCCTCTCCTAGATCCGGAGCTGTTGGAGCTACTACCACCATTGGTATGTATTCACTACTGGAGCTACTTCCTCCACTGCTCCTGTTTTATTAACAGTAAGATGATCTCTTGGTTGCATTGTTGGGTTGTTCCAGCTCGTCTAGTAGTAGTAGCACCTCTGATTTGTTGTATGAAGAAACTACACTGCCATTTTGATTCATGAAAATCACAAGTAGAACTATACTAACATAATTCACAATTAGTAGTGCATCAAATATTTCTTGAACATATATGAACAATGAGCTGTCAGTTTCATCCAAATGGGAGCTCTTCATTGTCTTTTATCAGTAACTTGACATCTTTGAAAATCACAAGTAGAACTATACTAACATAATTTACTGTAATGTAAGAAATATACATGGATGGACCACTCAAATAATGTCATTATATTTGAATTTGAGGGAGCAATGTAATAAGAAGATTTTACTGCAAAGTTAAAAAACAATTTTAACTTGTTTGTTTTGTTACCCTGGTTGCTTTTCAGGTGAGATGCTATGAAAACAGTATCTTGAATATCTTGCATATATCAACCTGATCAATCATTTTGATATGTGATATTTGCGGAGCTAAGATGATATGGAACCCTAGTCTCGTGCCGTGCTACTCTCCTCTTCCCTAACTATGCCTTATGACTTTTTTTGTTTTGTACTACTCTTGAGTGGTTGTGATGAATCAAGTTTCCATTAGAGAACTTCTGCACTTTAGCACCTTATGAGCTGGTACTTGGGATATTTTGTTCTGTTTGCTGCTTAACTAGGATGGCTTGTACCAGTACAAGCAACCAGTTCTGTGGCCAGTTCAATTCCCATTAGAGAGAGAATTAAATTAAGCTCCAGGTGAAATTAAGTTGCAGTTGTCATGCTGATAATGTTTAAATCTGAGCCATTTCTCGAGTTCTTTTGCTCCAGGTGAAATATATGTAGTTCTTGTGCTTTTGACATACTGCTCTCTAATGGATCTGGAATGACCAATAGTTTCTTTTCTAGTAGCTCAGTTCAATAGAGCTCTGTGATTTTTGCATTGCTATTTGTAGAAGAACATGACTTTTTTGCACGCAAATCATATATTTGTTGCCTTGGACTGTGAAACTTAGGTAATACTTTCAAATGTGAAATTTCTAGAGATGGTCACTGCCTGCCTGTCATTTCTTTTGCACTTGTAGATTTGTAAGTTCTTCCTGTGTCTTGCAGCTGTACTGCTTTGTGAAGGCTAGAAGTAATTATGGGCAGCATTTGTATTATGAAAACTTGAGTATGTGTAAGAACTAAGAAGCTTGTATGCTATGGCCACTGCTTTAGGCTCTTACCATTGACGAGTTCTATCGAATGCATCTTTAGTTTTATTTTGTTTAGGCTTAGTTTTATATTCACTGGTACAGTAAAAAAAGAGATGATGGGTCATTGTGAATGGGACTGGTTGTTCTGTACCTCCAGTAGTGCTAGCTGCTTATAAAGGCTTAGATCGCTGCATCTAGTGTTTGTTGAGAAACGGTGCTAATCCCAATGTACCTGATGAAGTGAGTTCTACCTTGCTATTTCTCAATTTCAATATTAGTAGCAAATGTGTTTTTTTGTCATGCATAGTAAATTGAATTTGGTGACATAATTTGAATTGACAGATGAATTCATGGAATTCTTTTCCAAGTTTGGAAAGGTTGTGCAGCTGTACCAAATGCTGCTGTAGTTGGCAGATGCATGTAATCTTTGGCAAGTGATACCTCTTGTAAAGCCAAAGGTGCAACCTGCATGTGGTAAGTCTCATTTGTTACTTCCACTATTTCATCTCGAACATACAGTGCGTACTAGGAATTGGTGGAATCAATGTTCACAAGTTTTGACCAATAATTACTCAAAATTTGAACATGTTTAGTCTACAAGAGTTGCACCACTAGATTCCTACTTGGAATATCATTAATACCGATATTGATTTTGTATCAATTGGTAATATACTCTATGAGAGATTAATGGTCCAAGTGTAGTATGGTTTACTTTCTCCAAACATAATACACCCTATATTTTGGGATAGAGGGAGTATTAGTATGAGTAAATTATGCTAAATCTAGTAGGCAACTGATCTTTGAGTTAGAAATATTTGTTGAGTGGTGCTCACAGAAGGCCTCTACAAATGGGGTTTCTGTCTTGTAGTGAAAAAAGATGTCAGAGTGAAGGCACTTGAGGCAGCTGAAGAAAAAATAGGAAGAGGAACAGAAGAAGAAAAGAGGTGCTGATGTGGCAACAAGGAAGAGGCAGAGGGATGAGGAGGAAAGGAGGGAAAAGGAGAGAAAAAAGAAATGCATTGAAGAAGCTCGAAAACAACAGACGCGACCTATGGAAAGAAAGCATGCCAACAATGACAAAGAAGCTCATCCAGAAGCTCATGTGAGTAGAAGCTATATTGTTTATGTCTACCAAGTGTTCCTTAATATGATAAATATTTGTTACTAAACATTTAAGTCGTTGCAGGATAATAAGGAGCGGCAGAAGAATTTGGCTGAAGCGGTGAAAGTCCCAGTAAAAGTTGATGAAATGACAGGCCTTGGAGGAAAGGCCACTAACAGTCACAATGAAATGGTTGTGATAACCGATGAGAGGCCTGCAATTTTTGGATCTCATTGTCAGGAAAATATCCCAAACAGTATTGAGGAGGTATGTTCTAGTCTTCACTTAGCTTTATCTTAGAAAGAACCTTGCGAGATCTTAAGTCTTAGAAAGTGCTGGGATAACAAAGATGGCATATTATTTTTTGATGGGGAAAATGATGGAGATTCTCCAATTGGGTTACTTTGATTTCATTTGGTAGTGTTATTTCACTTCAGTGTTAGCAAAGGTTCTAATTGCGAATTCTCTGCTCTGTGGTTTGTTGAACTTTTGTAGTCATAAATAATGACTCCATATAAAGATTCTGATGATGAGGATGATGATTTCGAACATAAAGAGGAATCAAGGCGACTACAGCATAGCAGGTCAAATAGATCAATATCTATTGGAAATCTGGTATAACTTGTTTGTTCCTGGTTCCATGACCTTACTGACTGATGGTTAGATAGGGTATGTGTAAGGTTGTAAACTTTGGGATTGGCAGATGCATGTAATCTTTGGCAAGTGATCCTTTGTTGTGTTTGTTAAACTATGTGATTTTGCCACAAAAAAGAAAGAAAAGAAGAAAAAACTGTTTCATGGTTTGTGTGTGGAATCACATGAATGCATTCATCTCTTTGCGCATATTGTTGGACATATTTGATTATCTATTTACCACTATTGTCTATTAGAGCACATGCTCTTGATCATATAAAATTAAAAGTAGTTACTTGTCTTTGTTTTGGTGTTGGCAACTTAGTTTGTTAGCTACTAGCTTAATTTGTTATCGGGACAACATGGAATAACCCAAGCACAGGATCAAACAGACTGGGTGTTCTTAGTCCACATGAATATGTTAGCTACTAGCTTAGTTTGTTATCTACAACACTAAAAATATGTAGTTACTTGTCTTTGTTTTGGGGTTGGCAACTTAATTTGTCTGTTTATTCATTGTGAGCAGCCTGGGGAATCTCTCTGTTCAGCCCTTAAATTGTTATACTAGCTTTATCTTGGTTATGAGAAATTATCTTTCAAAAATCATATCAGTCTTCCATTTTGTTGATCATTATTCTTAATGTGTCAGGAAAGGGGTATGCAAGTCTTCCCGTCGCCCACACAGAAGGCCCAGCAATGCCATGGGTGTTTTTGCTTCTCCGCCTGCACCTCGTCCACCCCAGCAGTTCTCAGCTCTCATGAGATCTCAGTCAATGCTTGATCTGTAGGATGTGACAGACTCAACTGCCATGGTCACTCCCAGGTACAAGCGCATGAAGAATTAGCAAAAGTTGAATAGTATCAAGGACAAGCGCATGAAGAACTAGCAAGAGCTGAATCTTGGTTAGTCTGAGGGTTTTGAATGTATTGATGCTAGAACATTTGGACATCATCTATGTACCTATGAATGTGCTGAACATTTAGACA